AGTTAACATAGTATGGTCTGTTCTACAACTACCTCTCTGGAGTTTATGTGCCATGCAATTTCCTTTGCTTAACGCTGTGTAATCTATGTTCTGTTGATGCAGAATACGAGTTTGATTATGTATTCGATTGGACCATTATAAAGTACCAGCAGGCACAAAAGAATCAAACTCAACCTCGATTGCCGGTTAGTAGCTGTGTGACCTTCATATCCCGCACCTCCCTCCCCTCTCTTCATGCTAACTTATTAGCCTTTACCATGTCAGTTTTCGAATTTGCAAATGGGTTTTCTTTAATTAGCTCTCAGCGAAGGGGCTGCTATCATCTGTCGTTCCTCTCTTTTTTCTTTTACCTCATTAATGGTTGTCATTGATATTGAAACGTGCACTTGATGCTGCAGCAAGTAACTGGAAGAAGTGACAGCCATGCAGTTCAAAGAGAGAACGCAAATCAACAAGGTTAGAGCTACAGATCTGTGTAATATGCAAATCGACAAGCACTTCATGTTAGCCAAACATCGTTTGTACATCGTGACTCTGTTTGTTGCTGGCCATGAGTTCTACCGATTATTGGATAAGAACATTTTCAAAGCCCAAGAAGACAGAATGACATTTTCAGGATAGTGATTATGGTCATCACCTTTTCTGCATTTGAGATATATTTGTGGCTTTATTCTCATTAGTAGTAACATTCGAGTGCAGGAAGTAGTAATGCTGCTTATGCTTCTGAGGTTGTACAATCTACGGGTCATGGCATTCATATGCAATTGAAATCATCAACTGGCAAGCATGTGGTTTCTGATAATCGTGCTGACAGGAACGTAAGTTCTCACATTATTCTTTAGTAATCAGTACAGTTGTTTCACCATATGGAACAGTGGACTGCACTTGCTGTGCTATTCTCTGAATCTTTTTCGAAAGTTTATGTTGTCTTCTTTTATTTACTCATTTGCAATAGCAGTGAAGTTACTGATTCACCATCTATATTGCTAACTAAGTGTGATGTAAGCTCATTGAAGTGGAGACTGCAAGATGCATATTGAGCTTTTTTACAATATTTAGTAAGAAACATGTTTAGGGAACTGACATTGCGTGAGCTATTATGAAGACCTTTTCATTGGTCTTTAGTCGCATAATTAGGTTCTGCCTTACGGTAGTGCCTCTCACTTAACATAGGCCTTTTAAGGCAGTGTGACTTTGGTGCATGGGAGGTTCAGTGTCTGTGTAATTTGTCATCCGGTAGCTTACCTTGTCAGTTGATCACCCTACAAATTGCTTCTTGTAGGTTGTGAGTGATGCACATATGCCTTCTAGTTCATTTTCATTTGCTGGGTCAAGAAGGAATGCTGCAAAACCAGGCGGCTTGCCAACTGAAGCAACAAGTGGCCATGGACATTCTAGCAAGGTTGCTCCATCTGGCAGCTGGATCTCAGCATTGCAGCGCATTCATTCTGCCAAATGATCTGGATGGTAGTTTCTGATTCCTGGTTTGCATACTCTCTACTAGTTAGATAATTGTTTATTCAGCAGCTAAGTTTTATATTTGTTCTGTGGTTAGCTGTGATGTTGTCAAAAGGAGGTTATAATGATACATCAGTTGGAGGCTGAAAAGAAGTTGGCGATCTGGTATCATGCTTTCTGCTATTAATGTAATCGAGATGCGGATGCTTGCAATCCAATGTGCTTTGTTCTTGTTGAAAGTGGATCGCAGTATATGTTCTTTGAGGTTTGTTATAAATTACCAACTACCCCAGGCTTGGTTGTGCTGTACATAGTTGCTTAAATTACTCATGCAAACACTGTATTTCTGATTTCATGTAAGCAGAATCAAATGTGAAGCTTTTAGCTAAAGACACTTGTCTTTTAAATAGTTGGTCTTGACAGTATTGGTTATCTCTCAGTTCAACAGTTCCGAGTTCATGAATTCTGCATGTATGCTCATCCTTGATACACAAAAATGTGTATATCTGAGCTTATGTGCGTAATAGTTGGCTGAAACAAGCTGCACCATGGTTACCATTGACAATTGACATGATGGGAGACGAATGAACCTTTTTGTACCATATTCCCTTCAGTTGTAGGCTATGTTTCTCATGCTAGCCAGTTTGACATTTGATCAGGTAGTATACCGCCTTTGTCCGTTGAATGCTCATTTGCAAGAGTCGTGTTTGTCTTGCACATTGGATTTGTAAGTGATGGGTAACTTATGTTCATTGTTGATCTTGTCTGGTCATTAGTGTAAGAAGTTGTCTTGACCACAAAGAATTTTGAATGCATTTCTACTTTCTGGGTAATTCTTTAGCTTATTTTGCAGCATTATTCGTGATAACCATTCATCCAGTGGCATATCTGTATCATTTGCCATTGTTTTTCCGAGTAACTCAAGTGAGATTTATCTGGCAACTCTTCTATCCATGTTGTGTCTTTCTGCTTTCATTTATGTGGAATTATTTGTTCTCACATGCTATCACACATTGATTTATGTTTGAATAATTATGAGATACTTGATATAGATTTTTTTTGAGTTATAGGATAAGTACTGTTTTCAAGAAATATGAAGCTCTTGTTTTGAGTAATTTGTTTTGTAAAGTAGATGCTGGGTTTGAAGAGTCAATGGAATGTAGACGCTTCAAAGAAGATCATATTGATCTGTTCAATTATCGATTAATATTCTCTAATTTGCAGGTTCTTTTGTAGCACGACATTGTCCACAGAAGTTAATCACAACTGGGAACCATGGACATGATGTAGTTTCAGAACTACGGAAGATCTGACAGTTCCGAGCTGATTGAGTAAGTGGCTGCAAGCTGCCAAGCCATGACTCGCGGTTGTAATTGATATTCACGGATGTCGGTGTCACTGCGGCTCCAGATCTCAGTTGCAGCACTGCATGCTTCCCCATTTGCATGTTCTATCAATGTAAGAAAACTGAAACTGGCGCGCTCCTTTTTGTTGCTGGTACTAAGAAAGGTGCCAGCGAGATGGTATCCCCACTTCTACAGTTAAAGTTGGGTTCAGAGGAGAAGGCTGATTTTGATGCAGTTTTAGCTTTACTTGTACCGAGCTGTTGGCAATGGACAAGGGACGATAACTGAGGTTCCGTTGTGATTGTTACAGAGCATACCATATCTAGGTATTATTGGGTAACAGCTGGGAGATAGTTTGGTGTGCAAGGGCAACCTACAGCTTCATGCTTTTGCCAAAATTTGTTGGTAAGTAATCTGGAGATGGACGAAGCTTAAGGGTTAGACGAACCACTGGGTGCAAGTTTCCGATTTATTTCTCGTATTTGATGCGGTTGCTGCTACTGGGGAGGGGCTGTTCGTAAGCAAATTCCAAGGCGGCAGGTGAACTTTCTTCTCCAGTCGCCTTGAGATCCAGTTTCAGGTTGTGTTTATAGCTGAAGAGAAAATTACTTGAACAAGCGCAAAAGGGAGAAAGCTATAGTGGATGTATACAACTGGTTGTGGGTGTCTGGAAATTGTGTTGGAAATGGTGCCGTGGAAAGCAAGAATCCGAGGAAGAAGCTGGTGGTGTGGTAGTTACTTATAATGCTTAGTTTTAAGTAAAGGAAAGATCATATGAAAGATGCAGGATGCCGATGGTAAGATAGCCTATAAGATAGCCTAGTTTGTAAAGGGCTGGGTTTTGGGCTTGGGATGTGACAAGGTCTCAGGTTGGAATTCCAGTACCGCTTTCCGCTTTCTTGGTGTTCCTGGAGGCACCCTTGGTATAAGAGACGAAGTCTCCCTGATGATGGTAGCACTGCGTCGGGATAAAGTCATTGATGGTTAGTATGCAGGTATCCCAGTTTAGTAAGCTCTGTTGTCACTCATGTGGCATGTGGGTTGCTGATGTTCCTGGGTTATCAAATAAAAAAAATATGAAAGATGTAGGACCAATTTCAGTGAAGGTCCAAAAGGGTGGTAGGGTAATGTGGGGTCTTGGCGTCTTGCCTGCCATCTGAACGGTTCTTGTTGGAAGGAAAAATAACGCTTTATACTACATAATGAATAAAATAATTGTTTACAAATTAACAACACTATTATACTTCAGTATAAATGATTAGTACACTTGATAACAAAATATATTCTACAAGTTGATGAATTAGAGTTCACAAAGTTCTTGAAATATGGAATAAATTTGAGAGAGAAGATTGAGTTTGTAAATGATATTAATTTTCTATTTTAATATTCACTGTTTAGCTCCATCTAATTATGTTTTGGTGGCACCTAGATGTTATTTTATTTTGTTATGTTTTTTATACCTAACTTATCGTGGAACTTCTAGGCGAGATGTTTCGGTGCTTGTGTTTCTACGAGCAAACGTAAGCATATGTTTTCAACCCATGAACAGTTGTAGCTTCAAATAGCAAATAAATAATTTAAGAGAAGCTAATTGATTTATATAGTATTATATAGAAAATGAGAACTAATGGGGTTGAGGTAAGGCGTAAGAAAGACCTTCATGATGTTTGTGAATTGTAAGATTAATGATAGATATTTATATTTTTATCATCATTTTATCGTATGATATTCGTCATTATTATGATATGAGTTTTTGTATCAACAAACTCTTGATTATGATACATATTGTGTGGTAAAGCGATTGAAATATAATTTTCATTGAATGGATAAATAAGTAGTTATATATGATGGGTAACTAATAGTTTATTTACCCTCCCCCAGGTTTTTTTTTTCTTTTCATTTTGGATAAATCAATTCTAACCGGTTAACAAAGCGTGGAATGGCCCGGTTCCTAAAATCTGTTACTATCAGGCCCGACTCTCTGGAACTATAAACCGAACTGCTAGAAGGCATGTGTCGGTTGGACCGGTTCAAACAGTTCCCGTCTGGTTACCAGAACCATGGTTTGCTTCCCATACCCGGCAACAAACAATTCGTTAGTCTTCTTGCCCTTTGCTCAACCGCCGGTTTAAGCTTACTACCATCGCCGCCAAGAGCCACCGTGAACTGCCATCTATGCCCGGTGACGTCGAGAAAATGGTGGCCGTAGGCCTCATCTGGGGCGCAACCAACGCCTTAATCCGCCGCGGGGCTCTGCTGTACGACAAAAGATCTCCCGGATCTCCCGCCGCCGCACCAAATTCGACTGCGCTCCACCGGAAGCTCATCTCTTCGCTCGGAAGCGTGATCAGCCTCCTGCTGTTCTGGCAGTATTCGATCCCTTTCTTGATCAACCTCTCTGCTTCCGCCACTTTCTTCGCTCTCCTCAGCGACGCCCCAATTTCGCTCGCCGTCCCTGTCACCAACGCCACGACGTTCGCCGCCACCGCCGTGTTCGCCATGCTCCTGGGCGAAGAAACTCGGATTGGGTTTGCATTGATCGGTACGGGGTTCATTGTGATTGGAATTTGGCTTTGTATCACCTAATTTGTTGTAGTGGAAAGGTTCAGATTTTTATGCTGCGAATTTCTGGGCATATTCCATTTTTGTAAGAATATCAGCTATCTGAGTCTATGGAAGATCGAGATCCTTTCTTTACTTTCAGAAATTTGAGGGTTCTATTTCTTCTTGGGATTGAATGAGCTCGTCACTGTGGTTCATTTGATTAAGATCCAGCATACTACTGTCTCTGTTCAATTATGAGAACTTACTGTAGATTACTGCATTCCGCATTCGAATGAGGTATTGAAACGAACTGTTGGATTGCAAATTGCAGAAGCTCTGATATCTCAATCTCCAACTTTCTTTCAGTTGTAGAAGTATAAAATGTTTACATCAGATTGAACTCGGTATTTGCATTTGGTTTGACTTAATGTAGGGAGAATGCAACAAAACTCAGATTGACATGAGGGAAAATAATGAAAAGCAATTCGATATGGAACCCGAAGCAGTGAAACAAAAATAGTTGGAACATGGTTGATATTGTAGATATTGGAAGGTTAGAACTGTGGCTTGAAGCATTCTGGTGGCATGTTGCCGTTGAATCGCTTGGAATCTTTGCAGTAGTCGTAGATCATGTGGTTATCTCTGACCCATTTCATCTGCCCTTGTTTGGCGAAGCTCAGCTGTTTGTATGCAGGAGATGTCCACCAGTTACCAGGGGTACTGACAGCACATTCAGTGATGCTGGGAGGTCCATTCCACTTGCAAGCCCTGGCCCTGAAATTGCGGTACCTGGCTATGAAGGGAGCAGAATTCCAGTCAATCTTCTCCAAGCCGCCTCTGGTTGCCCAGTTATCAGCATTCCAAAGGCTGGAGTAAACTTTCATTCCTTGTTTGTTTGGGTAAGGAACCCCCTGGCTCTCGTAGTTGCGGTAAACTCTGATTGGTATGCTGTCCACATACCACCTGCATTATCGAGCATATAGTATAGTAGTAAGGTCAGGACTCAGGACACCATCATATTATATACACCAAATGCAGTTGCACGATCATATAATAGTATGGTTCGTACTATTATCCCAATAACTTACACAATGGCGGTAGGGTTCCAGTGGATGGTGTAGTTGTGATAGTCAGCAGTTGGGTCAAACCACGGGTAGAACTGCTGTTCCCTGCTTCCATTTCCTTGTACGTAGACGTTAGTGTGGATGATGTAGGGTTGCCCAGACACATTTCCAAGAAACTCAAAGTCAATCTCATCGTGTCTATCTCCCGTGGAGGATACCTGTGGTCCGTAGTTCGATCAAATAAGAATGTGTATGACATACAACTAACTTGATTAGCATTTTCACTTGCGCTGCATTTTACTTACGTAATATGCAGTAACTGTTCCTGCAGAGTTCCCAGGCACCAGCTTGATCAACATTTCAATGCTGCCAAACAAGAACGCCCTCTTCGACTGGATCGCAGAGCCTGAGGAGTCAAAGATGATAGGTAAATCTAGTGAACTTCTATATATCTAAGAAGGCGATCAAAGTGTACGAGCAGCCTGAAGATTTGAATGCAAGCAAACAAGTTGCATTACCTGATGTTTTGTCCAACGCCAGCTGGAGGTCTTCCCCATTGCTCGACATTGAGGCATGGTGCGCTCCCCAGGTGAAGTAAGTACTCTTTGCGAACTTAGCATCAACTGAGCTTGGATTGAATGCTACTAATGCAAATACAGACAGAGCTACCAGTAGAGGGTGGCTAAAACCTGCCATTTTCATTTCCAACAGCCAGAAGAAGTTTACTGCTCGCTTTTCTCAGTTGAAATGAGGGTTGTTGGGGATTGATGCTTTTCGTCGACTACTATGAATGGCTTTTATAGGATCTAATCAACAGACAGACCTTGCTGAGATGGAGTCATCTACTTTTAATATTCTAGTTCCTGAGAACACATTGACCATGTCTGTCCTGTTAATTTGACATTCCTGGATTTGTTTAAAGTTATGCTCCAGAGTTTGGTGAATGATAGAAGTTGTCTTGTTTCAACGTCACACAAAACTGTGGACATGGGAACTTGCTGCTGGACATGTATATGTTATTCTTGTTTATTATTATAGAATTATAAGAGTTTCCATCCTGTGCTTTGCTGCTGATTTCTTTCTTCAAAAGTGGTAGTGGCGGGAGGGAATGAGATGAGGAGAAGGTAGGTAGATGGGGTTTGAGCCAGCCAAGCTGGGACGCGGTTGCATTTTGCTGGAGGAACCCTAATGGCATCGTGCACCAGACTAAAAACAATTGTCAAGGTGCCGGCCGGGATGCTTTGTTTAGCTTCAATGACGTGCACAACTTGCGAGTTTCGGAAAAATTGCAAGAAGCCACCTCTTCTTTTTTTGGGCTATAAATCACGCCCCTTCTTTCCAAGTTACACTAGATCATTCACATTGTTGTAAACTTGTAATGTTGTCATCGCTGTTGGGAGGTCGGATTAACCAAGTCGTTAATGCACTATTTTACGGAGTTAAAAGAGCATAAATAAGTGAAAATCGAAGAGAATTGAGATTCAACGAACAAGAATGGTGGCCATCACAAGACGACGTGAGATTTATGTTCTCACACTCTATTCACAGAGTGGATAATCCTCGCACATAATTATCGTCCTTGTGTCAAAAGGATTATCAAGCCAAAATGACGTCAGAGTTTCATCTGTGAATAGGGTCGGAACTCGGAAGGATGGTTTTAACAAGAATTATGAATAATTTTGAATTAATGGGTTAGCGTTGGAGAAAATAATCCGAAATAGCGACCAATTTCATTACCAAAACCGTCTAAGAAACCACGGTGATGATCCACATTGACATTTGAATTCAATTTACATATTGGCAGTGACCAACTTCCACTTGTAACTAAGTGCAACAGATGGGGTTATGAAGAGAGATAGTGTGAGCAAGAGCTCCTGTGATGCTCACATAATAAGAGCACCACCTTCATAGGCTTCTGTCAACTATAACGATATGGGCTGAACAAAATGTAGCTTCCGGAGAAGACTCCCCAAACCCCATATCATCAAAATCCAGATGGCACTTAGATTGTCACTTGTGGAATGCGAAAATCGGCCGATTGAATCCCGTTTTACTGCCTGTCAACCCTGCAGTGAGGTCCTCGACGGATCTGAAACCGATCTGCAAAAAGGTCAAAAAGGAAGCAACAAGTGAGGCAGACCCCCCCTATACTCTGTCATGATGCCGAGGTTAACAGGTATTTACCTTATCTAGCAAAATTTCCCGGAAACTCTCTGGGGGAAACATTATGTTTCTGTAATTTTCAGCTGCTGTCTGCAGAAGTGCAAACCAAGCTATCAGCAAATTTATACAACCAATACTCTTAAGAGACAATTTGTTCACATCCCAGGCAGAGTAAAATATGGAGCTAACCGCGATAAAAGAAACGATCGTAGAACTACTTCGTTCACGAGAAGCAAATGAGAAACAGTTCACATTTGACATGAAACACTCTGTATACTAAGATCTTGCTTACTCGAAGAGAAAAAACAAATACCTTGGAGACTTGATAGTTCTTCTTATATGAATCCCAAGGCTGCGGCTCCAAGATAAAAGTGCCACCCTGCTCAAGACAAAAAGGATTTGTAGTGTTACTGCCTACTGGTACAATGGTATAAAATGATCACTGAATATTAGTAAAGATCAGCCTAAGACAAGAAGTACCCAAGAGAAGATAAAGGATTAATGTAGGAATACCGGGACAAGAAGTTTCCACACTTTAGAAAATAGGGTAATCAACCCATCATCTCCCCAGTTCAGGTGAATCCACTTTGCAACACTCAAACTGCAAAAATGAACAACCATCTTACGATAGAAGATCACACTAGTTGATAGCTAATTTAACAAATTTGTTACTATAGTATAACTCCTGACAAAGTAAATGTGGTTCACAGCAGTTGTCTCCCTGTTTCAGCTGTTTACGTCATATTGGCTCAACAAGGGAAGGATAACCAGATAAATTGACTACAAGATGCAGTTATAGGAATAAAACCCAGAACTCCATGTTTTACACTTCAGTAATAGTTTCCGATATTCACAAACTCCAAAAATAAACTCCAAAAATAGAAGATACTCACCATAGAATAGTATCATACTGCTTCTCATGGGAGTGCCGACTGTCAACAAAATTTTCTTGTCGAAAGGAAACAACATCAAACAGATTTGTTTTCTCAGAAAATGATGCTTCTTTCTTGATCTCCTCGCCATCTCCTGGTACTACATGTGCAATTTGCTTGGAAGCTTTCAATTTCTCTTTGACTTCCTCCTTGGATACATTTGTACTACTGCTCCCAGAGTGCTCTCTCGAAAATTTTCTCAAGTGCCAATATGCATCAGAAATACGGGCTGGAACATAGCAAATCTAACTGCGTCAAGAGAACTTGTCCATCTGAAGGGTCTAGCAAGGGTAATCTCAAAACAATATAACTCTAATTCGAGACTTCCAGACTCAAATTTATCTAGGAAAAACTAGGGAATAAAAGAAATTTGACGCCAAACTCAAGAAGCAAGGAATAGCCAATGGTTATGAGCAGATCCTAAGTACCAACTGCAATAGACTCTCAAATTACTCCTTAAATACAAATAGAAAAGCGTGGACAACTAATGATATGTGCGTAAGATAAAAAGAAACTACATGTGCATCTTGATGGAACGCAAGTAGTGTCAGCATATCTACACAACACAAACATGAGGGAACTACTTGATATGCTTCACACACTACAGACTTACCACTGCAACTATAGAATACGACTTTATTTTTTCAAAACGTCAATTTGCCTCATTGTTTTGGGTCTGGTCATTTTTTACTTTGCTTTAATCTTCGTCAATAAAGTAAACCTAATCAACCCATCATTTTGCACAACGAAACTTAACATCAAGGATGGTTTACAAACAGGCATCTAGACAGACATTTTAGGATCTTACCAGTGTCTATATCTACTCCAAGGATGCTCCGGCAGTTATACTTTTTGGCTGCAGAAGATGAACAAAACCTTGCTATCAATATGATGCAGAAAGGGTATGGTATTGGTATAAAGCAACTGCAAACTAGTAACAGAGACACAAGTCGTGCCCAAAAGCAATGCCGAAAAAACAAAGCTATCAAATCCCTTAACATAAAAATCCTGATTCACTAGCCAATACTTCAACATAGACTTAAATTTATGTGTTACCCTCCCAAGTTTCTACTGATATCATAGGGGTATCTTTCCTATAAAAATACCTACATTACATCACAATTCACACAGATTCAAGTTTCACTTGTTATCACTGATATGAACATAGCAACACTCCAGCAAGAACTAAAAGGTCAAAAAGGGTCCGGAAGGCAGTCCTAAGGAACATACACTAGTTTACGCCCTTCAACTCCAGGATTGCATCACCAGATAACATGATTTCCCATATTCTTCTCATAAAAAATTTAACAGTCTAGCAACAATCTTTCTTTCACATGATCAAGAGCCACCACAAAAAATAAGCCACAAAACTAAAACACGATTCTGTTCAACTCTTTTCTGGAACCATAAACTGAAAAACAAATAAGAAGCTTACCAATATGGATGGTGATTATGCCACTATTGCAGCCAATGTCGAGACAATCTTTCCCTTCAAACCACTCCCTCTTTAAGACCTTAAGCCTCGGATCTTCATCCACCTCCTGACCAATCTGTTAATCAGCAGCAAAGAAGAAACCACCTTTGTAAGGATTCCATGGAAATATTCGTAGTAAAGAACAAATTCGTCACATTAGAAGAATTCTGTGACTCGTTCTATTCTGCTCGAAACCCTACTGCAGTTGCAACTCAAGATTTCCAGCAAGAGAAAGAACAGAAATGGTGGCTATCTAGCACTCTTAGAGCTACTTTACAACACCCAATAGACATTTTCTGGTTAATCATCAAGTAAACTACGCCAAGAGCAGAACATGCATTCCCATTTTCAAGCTGCGAACAGCAAATGAACATCGCTAGAAGAAAGAAACGAAGAGAGAGAGAGAGAGCAATACACGGTATCCGTAGTAGTTTCTGTAGTTTCCGAATGGAAATGCTTCTCTCTGTTTCCTCTTCTTGCTGCTGCCGCCGCCGTTGTTGTTTTGAGCAGGGTGGTCGCCGCCGGCGACTTGATTTTGCTGCTGTGGTTTCCCTTCGCCGTTCTGCTTCCGCTCCTGGGTTTCTTCCTTCTGGGATGGATTCTCCGTCTTCTGTTTCTTCCTATTCCTTTTGCTCTTCTTCTCGGCGACGATTTCCTCTCTGTTTTCCTCCTCTGCTTCTGCCATTTTTTGTTGTTGGGAAGCTAAAGAAGGATATGTGCAGGCGCTTCCTGTTTAGCGGAGGGCAACAGAAAGGCGAGGAAGTCGAACGTCTTTTCGAAGTAGCGACAATCTGGTGAGCTAGGGAGATGCAGAAGAAGCGGCGGCGAGGAGATGGAGCTCCAGCGCGGCGGCGGCGGCGGCGGCGGAGGTGGCCGTGGGCAAGGGAGCTTAATTATGAGTATCCTCGAGGAGAGGCGAGGAATTTTAGGGGTTACAGACTGATTTATTTGATGTAATTTCGTGTTTAAAAAAAGGGTTAATAGCATTTTGTACCCCTCTACTATGATAAATTAACAAACGTACCCCTCTACTAAATTTTTGTACAAACATACCCTTCTAATATTAAATCGTAACAAGTTTACCCTTCCATCTAATTTTTCGTTAAGTGACCGTTAACTGAGCTGGAAAATGACCCAATTGCCCCTCATTTACTCCTAATTTCAGTTTTAATTATTTTATTATTTATGTCTAATAATTAATTATAAAAACAAAACCCTAAACTAATTCGCAAGCACTCCGGAGACCGTTCATCTCCCGGCAGTCTCCCCTGCCGATCAGTCTTCGACTCGACGGCGCCGTCTGCTCCCGCATCTCCTCGCCGTCCTTCTTCTACTTGTTCCAGAACCACAAGGCCCACGAGATCCAGAAGCGCCGCCGCATCGTGGACGACAACGACGTCCTGCTTTCCTCATCATCTTCAGCTTGCTCCCTCATCCGCCGCGACATTCCCTTTTCCTCCTCCGCTAGATGTATGTCTTTGATATCATGTAATGAATTACTTAATCTCAATAATCTTGAGTTGTATTTTGCTTTTGAGTTGTTACTAAAGATGGGTTCATTTATTTTGATGCAAATTTTTGAGAGATGAGCCATAACAAGCAGCTCCAATATAAAGCGGAGCCAGCAGCACCAAAAGCTTAAAAAGTGTCAGAAAAATTCCCATTAATTTCCTTCAACGAGGCTGTTGATCATCATCATCACTCATCAGTACTACTACGTTGCCCGTAATGAAGCAGCTGCAGGAAGGAGATGCGGGAGCAGGCGCCGCCGTCGAGTTGCAGGACTGATCGCTGGGGGAGAGTTCAGCTAGACGGCCGGTCTCTGGAGTGCTTCTGAATTAGTTTAGGATTTTATTTTTCTAATTAATTATTGAACATAAATAATAAAATAATTAAAACTGAAATTAGGTGTAAATGAGGGGTAATTGGGTCATTTCACAGCTCATTTAACGGTCACTTAACGGAAAATTAGATGGAAGGGTAAACTTGTTACGATTTAATATTAGAAGTGTACGTTTGTACAAAAATTTAGTAAAGGGGTACGTTTGTTAATTTTCCATAGTAGAGGGGTACAAAATGCTATTAACCCTTAAAAAAAAATATTTTGCCACAAAAACTCAGAGGTCAAACCAGCGGTCCGTCGGTCGGACCGAATTATCTCTATGGTTGGTATCATGGTATGTGAGTGGACCAATCCAATCGCTCCTCTATTAGGGTTTATCAAAACCATAAATTTCATTTTAGATTAGAAGAGTAGAAAGCGGGTTCAAAAGCATCATTATCTCATATCATACTTCAAATCAAAAATAGTAATGATAGATGAATCTAGCATATAGTCTAGAAAAAGCAAATAGTCATGATCACAACTTCAACGTAATAAATGATAAAGAGTTTTTATCGACACAATCTCTTGACGTCCTTGCATTTTAGTAGGTGTCGACTTACGTTGGTCCGTATGACACCTCTTCTTCCGTCACTTGCATCCAGATCCCTAATTTATTTTCTCTTAAACTTATTATGTTCTTTCTAAGTCTCGATTCTACCTATTTCTCTATCAACCACTAATATTTTACCAAATCCACCCTTAGCGTACATTTAACCACTCAAGCAAAAGGAATTCCACAATGATTAAGAGGATAATTACTTATAACTTACTAATCAATTACATTTTATTTTATGAACTCTCAAGTCTTAATACATAAATATTGTCCAAAAAAAACCATGTCATTACACAGCCAATCAAATGATGAAGAATACAAAAATCAGCTATAAAAAAATTTCATTTCTGGACCTTTTCTCTTCTGCAAAACTATACCCAAAAAAACCTTTCCGCAGTTACCAAATTGCCCTGCGTTTTATATACAATAACTACACAAAACGGCACCCCAGTAATTAATAATAACACTATAATAATTATCTCCTCTCACTTAATCTGCACCCACACGGCTTGGCTGGGAACCCCTTGGTAGACAACGCTGAGCATGTAATATCCGGTCGGCGCCACCGCCGAGTTCGGCGGCGTCACCACCGCCAGGTCAAACACGCCGGGCTGCCCCGCCGTCGGGTTGACCGATTCGAGACCCAGCATGATGAGCCGCTGGTTCATCGTCACCCCGTGGGTGCTGAACCCGGGGACGCTGATCGTCACCTTCAGGTTGAACAGTATCATCGCCGCCGGCTTCGCCTTCACCTGCACCGTGATCTTCCCGTTGTACCCGAGCTGCGCGATCGCGGCGGCGTTCACGATCTCCGGCCTGCTGTCGGCCAGCGCCGGGTCCAGGTACGGCGGCGAGAATTTCTCCACCCGCAGCTCCGTCGGGAACATGGAGTCGTAGATGTAGCTGGTAAGAGTAATGGTGTCATTAATTGTTAGTAAGAAGGGGTAGGAGTAGGCACATAACTTGGGCTATAATCAACTTTTAATATTGGGGTCGTGGAGATTCGAACACACGACCACTTGGTCAAACCAGCTCTGATACCATGTCATAAACCAATTGGTTCCAATAACTCGAGTTGTTGGGAGAAGGTTATGCGGGATCCTATACCACTCTCTAACAGTTGATACGATCTGATTTGGACCAGTGTGAATCAGATTGTTGGCCACCCCTTAGTAAGTGATATATAATGCATAATTGAATATCTTTCAACAATTCAAGTTATTGGGATCAATTCATTATATTGACATGGTATCAGAAGAGCAATTATGTAACCAAGAGATCTTTGTTCGAAATCCTCATAACACTCATTTGGTAAGCACATGGTATTCGAACAAGTGCAGACTTCAACTCCACATGAGTAGCCTTTCGTTCGAGGAGGCGTGTTGGTGAATAGTTTGTGATTTATAATTGAACCTTTTCAAACAATTCAAATTATTTGGATTAACTGGTTATTGACAATTATGCAATTCGTTATGTTAGGCAATACAGTAAAACATGTGATTCTATACTTAGAAACATTTTAATTACGTACCTAGAAGCGTTCGTAAGATTTTAAATTTTAAAGCGTAGATTTTGATTTTTTACTACGCTTATATAGAAAATGTGAGATTCAACGTGAAAACGTTTTGGTAATCTAAAATAGTAAAATTACAAGCTTTTAAATGCATTCATGCTAGGTATATGTTGCCATGAGAGTTGAAAAATAGAGTTACGTACCCGTTGTTCGTGTTACTCCCGGCGACCATGACCCTGCCGTCGGGAAGCACGACCGTCGACGAATGGTACATCCTCGGAATCGTGGTCGGAGCCAGCTGCCGGAACCTGAACCCGAGCTTCGCCCGAGGAGTATACAACACCGGAGTAAAATTCGGCTCCCTCGCAAAACCCCAACCGGAGGCTCCCCTCATCGCTCCGTTCAAAATGAGCACCTCCCCGGTCGGAAGCAGCATCATATCCCCCATAATCCGCGGCGACGGCATCAGCTCACGTTTCCAAACCGGGTTCGGATCCGTGATCCGGATCCGACCGCAATCCTCCAGCGCCTCGTAGAACACATTCTTCTCCGCCTTGCTGTACGAGTCAATATGCGCCGACCCGCCGCACACCAGGACCTCGGCCGGTACGGGCTTCGCCGGGTCCTGTTATCAAGAAATATTTTAAGTTATCGTCAAAACTCAATGATTCTAGGATTTTAAAAAAAATAATAATAATAAAGAAACCTAAGAGTTCTAGTGTTCCATTTCATAACTCAATTTTGTTGTTATTACCTGCCTGGATATCACGAAATATTTCAAGTCATCGTCAACACTCAAGAATTCTAGAATTTTAGAGAAAAAAAAAACTAAGGGTTGTAGAGTTTCATTTCACAACTCATCTTTGTTATTACCTGTTGTGCTATCAGAAAATATTTCAAGTTATCCTCGAGACTCAAAGAGTTATAGAATAAAAAAAAACCTAAGAATTTTTGGGTTCATTTCACAACTCATCTTTGTCGTTACCTGCCCAGCGGCAAAGAGGCGGATGGGGAGGATGACGGACATCCCACTGGCGGGGTAGTTCCGGTGGCCGCCGGGGAGGACGGGGAACTCCTTCACGACCTGGTTGGTGGCGGGGTTGAGGAGGACAGAGCGGTTGTTGGCGAAGATGAAGACGTTGCTGTCGGTCGACAGGAACACAAAAGGGTAGAGGTTGTTCTCCTCAGGGTCGAGGGTCTGCTTGAGGAAGTCGAAGAAGAAGGGCTGGGCGTTGTGCTGGCCTTCCGGCGGGATGTACTCGAAGGACTGCGCGTCCCGGCCGCCGACGACGATGAACCTGCCGTCGGCGAGCTGGGCCTGGGTGGAGTACCACCGCGGGGCGGCGAGCGCGGTCGGGTATTCCCTCCATTTGCACCCGACGCAGGAGTCGAGGTAACGGACCGTGTTGGCCCCGCCCTGGAACCCGCCCGTGCTGACGAAATTGCCCTCGAGGGTCAATCCTCCCGACGAGCACCACGTGTCCGTCATAAGCTAAAAGCACCAATGTGGGGAAAGAAAAAAAAAATATTAGTACTTGTGTGTGAAAAAAAATATTAGAGGAAAAAAAAATCATTTTTACCTCGAGAGGGGTGAGGTTGTCCACGTGGGTATCAAACAAAACAGAGTGCGCGTAACAATCCTTCTCCCCTGTCTTCGGATCGAGCACTCTGCACTCGCCGTTCGGCAGCAAGATATTCGAGATCCTCCAGATCGTCGCGTCGTACATAATCACCTTCTCCACCTTCGGCAGCAAGATCGAATGCATGGCGGAAACCCCGGAATTCTTCGAGAAGAGCTCCCACTGCCCGTTGAACCCGCTCGGGCTCACAAACGGCTTCTCGTGCACCTTCCCTTTCATCGCCCCCAGCCCCGCCGTCGTCGCCGCCGCTCCGCCGGCGTCGTCCGCACCCATCAGTTGGGCGGGTTTTCCGGCGTCGGCGTCGGAGTCGTCATCGCCGGCGGCGGCGGCGCCGCCGGCGTCGCCCTTCTTTTCGATC